ATAGCACCAGCCCCTGTGGCACCCCAGCGCTGCCGGCCCCCACAGACAGCAACAGCAGCTACAGAATATATGCTCCAGCCCCAGCAGGTACAGAATATATGCTCCAGCCCATCTACAGAACCAGGGACCCCTGCAAGGGACCCAAGGGACACTATGTCGCTCGGCTACATAGGCCACTCTGGCTAAGACATAGCAATTTTAGATAAGAATTTTATGTACAAAAAGTTCAGATAATGTTGAATAATGATTCTGAAAATGCATCATCTGAGAAAAATACCATTTCAGGCTAAAAGAAAAACAAACTACTCCAATACATCAATAATCTCATCAACAAAATAGCAACACAAGAGGATCAGCTAAATGTGTAGACACAGGAGGGACTCCCAATTAATATCTGTCACAAATATATCACAAAAGCGCACATACTCACAGCAGCTTGCTGCAGCACTGTTGTTATTTTCCCTTACTTAGCTTTTTGAACTGCAAGAGAAATTGACTCATAGTGTGATTTTCAAAGAAAGAGTCTGATCTTGACAGAGGACTTGACAGAACTTCTCTGGAAATAACTGTATTAAACTTATCTGTTCACATATGAACATATATTAAAATCTCTGTTGTGGCTTTTTTTCCCCTGGAATGCAACAACTGCATGCAAGATGGTTTAATTTTTCTTTTAAACTTCTGCTTTGCTACTAAATTTCTACAGTGGATTTCTTCCAAGACTTTAAGAAAACTATTTATACAAAAATATATTACATTGCATGGGAAAATACAAGCTGGATTTAGAAATGTGAGAAAGGATTTATCTCCTATCTGGAAATCAACTAGTTAACAGTGGCAAAAACCTAAATAAAAGGAACAAGACAATTAATGGGAAATCTTCCCTGGTAATAGACCAATGTGCTTTGGACACAAGTGCGTCAACCAGCACAACCACTCAATGTTTGGAATGACTCAACTCTCTAAGGAGCGTGACATCTGTGATTATTATTGATAAATACATCTTTGTCCTGGGCTGAGTTTACAATTTATTTCCCTTATTACAGAAGGGAAAAATCTTTTTGATTATTAAATTATACCAGTTTTCTCTCCATGTGTTCTGGATTGTCTGCACATGTGCCATCCCAAAGGACATGCTGCAGAAGGCATCCGACTCACTGTCCCTATAAAACAATTAAACGAGGACCTACGGGCTTAAGAGATTGCAACTAGGCACAGTGTGTTTCTTTGGACTGGAACAAGGTGGAATGTCTTCCACATGCTATCACTGCTTATTAGTAGTAAGTATGTATTAACAATAAATTAGATTCGCTTATATGAAGAAAGCTAAAGTATTTATCTTTTCAGCATTACTTCAAAGCTTCATCTTTGCCTCAAACAAGAGAAATGAGTTTTAAAATAAAATACTGAAGGCAAAACCTGTCCATATCTATATTGTACTGCTGGTAATAAAACCTTAGATTAACAAAATCTGCTTAAAAGCCCAGGAATTAGTTCACAGTCTCATACTGTTTACCTGCACTTTGCATCTTTTTTAATGTGTGTATTTAAAATCAACAAACTGTTTCGCTCATTTCCATTTCTCTCTGTTGAACTTCAGATCCAAACACTGAATAATGTTTTAAACATGAAAGGGGAAATGTTTGCTTTTGCGTCTCTTAGGAATAATATGAAAGTATTTATCAATGCCTAAGATTTATACAAATCGTGTATTGTCATCAAATCTGTGACGGTATAAACTTCAGCTAAAGACACCTTTAGAAGACCATTTAAAAAAAAACACAGTATTTTTAAAAATATGTAAGAAAGAAGAAAAAAACCTACGAGACTAGATGAAACTATCCTCTTGAATCCCGAGCACAGACAGGTGACAGGGACAGAGGGTGCGTGAAGATGACGCCAAACCCCTTGTACTGGCTAAGGGCCAGCTGGGCCCTTGGCAAATCCTGCAGCCGCCTGTGCACGGCTCCCAGCACCCCCATCCTGAGCGTGGGGTGCCCAGCAGGGCTCTGCTTCCCACCCCGACACACCCTTCTCCAGCAGCACCCGCCGGGCTGCTCGCAGGGAGAACAGCCAACACACAGCAGGGATTCTCCTCTTCACCTGTAACGGCTGCGCTTGGCACACAACGACGACGACGCAGCAACTGATCAGGTTCTAACACAAAGTAGATATTCGGTCCACTTAGAAGCTATAGGATGTTTCCCCACACACTCACTACGGACATCAAAACAGCAGCGTCAGGACATTATATAGGAAAATTCACACGTTATGCATCGAACTACAAACATGTCATTACAGTAACTCAGCCTAAGAAATACTAAATTTTTAGGGTTTTTTTTGTCACTAACTCCCGCACATATATTTGCTCTAAAACAAGCTCAACTGGGGGGGTGCGTATGTATGTCAAATTTGCCTTTCCACTACTTAATTTTGTTTTTTGCATCCCACTCAAATTAGAGTCTTTTTAATATATTCCAGAAACAATGAGACATTTTGGTAACAAAGAAACATTATATAGCCCGGAGCCCTCAGGTTAAATGGCAAAATCTCAATACACACAGAGGAAAAGCATACTGGAATTAATTTTCTTGATGAAAAACTTCCCACTGCATGACTTTTCATAAATCAACCATGTACTTTTTGTATAAGGGTTGCTCCCATCATTTGTTCTCCTACCAAGATTTTTTGAGGTTGAAGCATTACCACTTGTGTGGAAAGCATAAAGCATGCTTTTCTAAATTACTACTCCTTGCATAAAAGTCACAACAAACCAATTTGGATCAACAAAATAACTGCTCTATGCGGAATACAAGACGGGATGCGAGAAGCTTAGAGTTAAGGTAACAAGGCACATAAGAACAATTTATGCATCAGGTTTTTACTTTCTACACAAACAGCCAGCAGATAAGGCTGCCCGAGATGAGGACATGCTGTTCTTCCCAGCCTCTCCTGTTGCTCTCTCTCCTCTGCGCACTTCTTCCATCTTTCTACAGATGTGGTCACCACTGCTTAGCAACCAAGGGGACATGATGGCACAGAGGAAAATCCTCCATCTAGAGCTCATCCCGCTCCCCAGCCATAGCCGCAAACTATCTTCCACGGAAGATTAAGGAGAGCACCTTTTCTTTGTTGCCTCAGAGGTACCAAGTAGGACCTGAGACGTAGTTTGGTGCGAGCTGAATTTTCTTCCCTCAGTGGGTGTAGAGGGGAGCATTTACAAGGTAGAGAGTAGGAGAACCTGAGATTTGCCGGTAAAAGACGTCCTCGAAGGCTAACGCCAGTTTAAAAAAAAAAAAAGAAAGAAAGAAAGAAAAACGCAAAAAAGCAGACACCACGGTGATGGGGAAAGAAAAGCAATAGAAGGAGAAGGGAAGCAACCGAGTACAGTACCTGCTTTTTACTCAGCGCTCCTGCCGTCCTGCAGGGCGAGGCCAGGCGAGGCAGAGGAGGGCAGAGGGGCTGGCAAGCGGCAGCTGAGGGCAAACTGCGGGCAAAACCCGGCGAAGAAGAGGGCGGAAAGAAAATACTCACTTCTCCCATGCCACAGGTAGGTAGGCGATGTCTCCGCGGCTGCGGGGCCACCGGTCGCTCCCGGGGGCCGCCTCCCCTCCTCTCCCCGGCTCCGCTCCACAGCCGGTCCCCCCACCCCGCCCCGGGAGCCGCGCCCGCCCACCTCAGCGCCCCCTGGCGGAGGCCGCGGGACGGGCGGGACCGGAGGGTGCGGCCGAGCCCCGGTGCGGCGGTTCTTTTTGGTTTTGTTTTGTTTTTTTTTTTTCTCTGTCGATCGCTGCAGCTCAGTGCGAGAAGAGGTGTTTTGTAAGAGTTATTTTACTAAAGGAGGTGCCCCCCCCCCCGAGCCGTCGCATCATTTGTTCTCCTACCAAGATTTTTTGAGGTTGAAGCATTACCACTTGTGTGGAAAGCATAAAGCATGCTTTTCTAAATTACTACTCCTTGCATAAAAGTCACAACAAACCAATTTGGATCAACAAAATAACTGCTCTATGCGGAATACAAGACGGGATGCGAGAAGCTTAGAGTTAAGGTAACAAGGCACATAAGAACAATTTATGCATCAGGTTTTTACTTTCTACACAAACAGCCAGCAGATAAGGCTGCCCGAGATGAGGACATGCTGTTCTTCCCAGCCTCTCCTGTTGCTCTCTCTCCTCTGCGCACTTCTTCCATCTTTCTACAGATGTGGTCACCACTGCTTAGCAACCAAGGGGACATGATGGCACAGAGGAAAATCCTCCATCTAGAGCTCATCCCGCTCCCCAGCCATAGCCGCAAACTATCTTCCACGGAAGATTAAGGAGAGCACCTTTTCTTTGTTGCCTCAGAGGTACCAAGTAGGACCTGAGACGTAGTTTGGTGCGAGCTGAATTTTCTTCCCTCAGTGGGTGTAGAGGGGAGCATTTACAAGGTAGAGAGTAGGAGAACCTGAGATTTGCCGGTAAAAGACGTCCTCGAAGGCTAACGCCAGTTTAAAAAAAAAAAAAGAAAGAAAGAAAGAAAAACGCAAAAAAGCAGACACCACGGTGATGGGGAAAGAAAAGCAATAGAAGGAGAAGGGAAGCAACCGAGTACAGTACCTGCTTTTTACTCAGCGCTCCTGCCGTCCTGCAGGGCGAGGCCAGGCGAGGCAGAGGAGGGCAGAGGGGCTGGCAAGCGGCAGCTGAGGGCAAACTGCGGGCAAAACCCGGCGAAGAAGAGGGCGGAAAGAAAATACTCACTTCTCCCATGCCACAGGTAGGTAGGCGATGTCTCCGCGGCTGCGGGGCCACCGGTCGCTCCCGGGGGCCGCCTCCCCTCCTCTCCCCGGCTCCGCTCCACAGCCGGTCCCCCCACCCCGCCCC